CTCCAAATATCAATGTTTACTTTGTAAAAATATGACATCACCTTCTGCTGCCATGAGGATCAAGTGAGGAAAAAGAGATGTGAGCCTGCTGCATTCTAGAAAGTACTGTCTTTAACGTGTTACCATTATACTCTTAAAAAAGCTTGACCAGTACTCTCTATTACACCATGACCATAGAGACAGCAATAAGGATGATTCTGGATAGAAAGGAGCTTGGAGGCTTGGGTTTTGGGGGGATTCCTTGCTCTGGCGCACACCCTCTTACTAGTATTCATAAGAAACAAAGCTCCTCAGAGTTTTGAACTTCAGGATTATGTACAACTTTAGTCATTCCTCATGATTTACTATTTTTGCTTTACTACACCATTAGTCCTGAGGACCACCTTCTATCTGAGGGTTCTCAGGCTAGATTTGGTGGATGGAGAGGGAAAGGATACACCAGGCTCAGAGGAGAAACTCCCTAAACTAACTAAGTACAGGGCCGTCACAAGTACTCTCTCCAAGGCCTTTATTTGTACTGAGACCTCGTACAAAGAAAGATGAGGCTTCTGGGTAGTTCTGGGGCCTAGTTCCTGGTGTTCTGACCTATGGACATCCTGCCTGATGGTCCCTGCTATCAACAGGCAGTTGGCCCTTGTTCCTCCCAATGAGGTAACAACCCTTACCCGTCCACCCTAACCTACTCAAATCTGTGTCGTTTATAACCACACATCGGAATGCTCTCTATGCTGCCTGAGGCAAAGAGTTCACTCCCTGGAAGTGGGCACGATGAGTGAGGACCTATTAGGTTTTATTTCAGAGGGCCTCCTCACCAAGCCTGGCTATGTCCATCTCCGTGAAGACGTTAGGCTCCAGGAAGGCAGAGACTGTGACACATTAGGTGCCGTCCCCCTGGATGATAGTAGGTCCTTAATTGTTGTGCACACTGATGAACTAACTGCACTTTGCCTATAACCTCTTTTGTGCTTTCATGAAAGGGTGCCGAGTTCCCAAGGGATCCAAGGGTACATTTGGGTGTCACTAAGGTATTCATTCATTTACTCATTCATTCACTCAGCACCCAGCCACTCATCCTATGTCAGGCACTGTGCAACTGTGCAAAAGGAAATGATTCGCAAAGATCAGTGCTCCCAGCAGAAGTTCGTGCGGAGGGCAACAGAAGCAAAGGGGCTGGTTAATTCTTAGTTACACTTTTAGCAGATAGCAGAGGCTTTCCAGAAGAAAGGACGTTTCTGCTGGGCCTTAAAGGATGAGCAGGAAGGCCCTGGAAAGGGAAAAGAAAGAGTAGAGAGATGGCAACACACATCCATGGTCTCTAGAATTAACTGGAAGATGGGCCTGTGCACATGGAGGATTATCTTCATGTTAGCCGATGTGGAAAGACCCGTGTTTATTGTGGGGAGGACCCTTCCCTGAACAGGGGATCCAGGACTCCATAAAATAGAGGAAGTCAGCTATGCAGGAGCATGCATTCATTCTCTCTGCTTCTTCACTATACGTGATGCCCGGCTGCTTCAAGCTCCTGTTGCCATGACCACATGATCCGCTGTTCCCTTGAACTGTGAGCTGAATAAACCCATCCTCCCTTGAGTTGCTTTTGTCATGGTATTTTTATCATAGCAACAGGCAAAGAAACTCAGACAGCTTCCCAGGAGGTCATTCGTATGACTAAGGCAGACAGCCAGACAGTTGACCCTCTTCAGCCATGGCTTCTTCAGGCTGAAAAGAGGACCCAGAGAAGAGGTAACAGAAGAAGAAGGCATGGTGGCTGCATCCCAGGGAGGCCAGGCCTTCTTGCTGAGGAGTAACAGAACAAGCAAGTAGGGGGAAACAGACGCTCATCACAGAAAGGGAAAACTAAGAAGAATATGTGATTTTTCAGATGGGAGGAAGCAATGTGGCACCAAGAAACCTTTTCCAGGCTACCACCTGGCTATATTCCCCCAAATTAGTGGAAAATTCCAGCCCAATAGCACATTCTGGGCACAGGAGGTATCTCCGAAACCATGAGGGAAATCTGTTTGTGGTCCAGCTACTCATCATTTCTCAAAGGTGCCTATCTGTGCCTAGACCAAGGCACCCAGGAGAAGGGGAAACCAGAAAGTTCAGAGTCAAGCTGGCAGTAGTGGCAGCACAACTTTAATCCCAGTACTTGGGAGGCAGAGGCAGGTGGATATCTAGGTTTGAGGCCAGCCTGGTCTACAGAGCGAAATCCTGGATGGTCAGAGCTATACATAGAAACCTCCTGTCTTGAAAAAACAAACAAACAAAAAGTTCAAACCCGACGATGCGTGGCCATGGGTGGGCTTAGCAGCACCCTCACCCTACATGCACTGGAGCAAACTCAGATGACTGTCCCTAAACCATGGAAAATGTCCAGACTGAGCCTGTGAGCTAGACACAGCCCCCTTAGCCCACAGCAAGTCTTAGCTCTCTGCATTACCGAGTTTATTTTCCTAGCCTCGCAGAGCTCAAACACTGTAATAAGAGTTGTGTTTTCTTTTCCACTCTTCTGGGAAGGGAGATAACAATAACAACACACAACACGTATTCTGCATGCATCACGTGGCGCTGCCCCCCTCTATGTCAATTCCGCCGGGTAGGTGACACTGTCTGGAGCAGGGCTGAAAAAAACCAAGGTTCAGGCGCCTTCCAGTGTATGGCAGGATGAAGCCCAACACAGCTGCCGCCAACCACAGCTCCCCTTCACCAGAGCAAACCCACCCACCTCTATCAGCCACTAGAGAAAAGACAAAGGGAGCCCGTTTGGAGGCTCCAGTAAAGGCCCAAGACAGTAAGTTAATTGCCCACAGAATTATCAGGAAGGAGACACAGACACAATCCAGGTAGAGCGTGACCTTCCTGGTGTACCACAACCTCACTGTCCAAAGCTTGTCCAGACACCCCTCCATTAGAACCCCGACTTTTATTTGGTGACATTTGAGGGGCCTCTGTAAGATATCTTCAGTGGAAATAATTTAAAAAATTGTGACGACTGGTATCAGGAGGGGACCATGCTAGAATAAGAGCTGGGACAGGGCTCTATGCATGGGCACTGAGCCCACATCCTGGGGTGGCCGCTGTGAGCCTGCGGGCATGTCATATTCTCTCTAGATTGGTCCCTCAAACCAAAACTTGGTGCCATCGTGGATGCTGCTTATCTTCACATGAAAATAGGCACCTGAGCACTGCTCAGGTTGACCTCTGTCCCTTGTCATACCTCATTTAGATTACTTCGTAAGTCTTCTGGTTAGGTCCCGAGCTGCCCAGCTGACCCCATTCTGTCCATCTTCCCAGCCAGAGGAATTGAGCTGAAATACATGCTTGCTAACCCAATCCCATATCATTCAGGGTAATTAAAGGGCACCCTCCTTGGTCCAGCTTCAGCGTCTCTCGATTGCCTCCTGGCCTCTTCCCCAGGCATGCACACACTCTCTTTTTCTATACTTCATTGAATTTGTTGAGCTGTTACTGTGATCTTGTGCACGGCTGGTCTTTCTTCTTCAGATGGTCCTTTCCCTCTGCAAACCCCTGTCCATTCTTTAGAAAATTCAAGCACCAGCTTCTCCAGGAACCCTCTCTGATCACTTCAGGATGGAGGTCTGTCCTTTGGGCTCACCAGCCTCCCCCACCAAACTCCCTCTGTCACAACTCACAATGATTGATCTTTCTTTTCTGTCTCCTGCACCAATCTCCTGAGAAAAGAGGAACTAGCCAGGCAAATGGTGATACACGCTTTTAATCTCAGCACTCAGGAGGCAGAGACAGGCTGATCTATGAGTTCGAGGCCAGCCTGGTCTACAGAGTGAGTTCTAGGACATACAGAGCTGCATAAACCCTGTCTCCAAAAACCAGAAAAAAGGAAGGAAGGAAGGAAGGAAGGAAGGAAGGAAGGAAGGAAGGAAGGAAGGAAGGAAGGAGGGAGGGAGGGAGACAGGGAGGAAGGAAGGAGAAAAGAGCTAAGTTGAGAAAGAAATGCTGCACAGTGCACGAGAAAGCAGCGGGGTTTCTACATAGAAGACTGGATGGACAGCCAGGTATGGTAGTGCACACCTGTAAGCCTAGCATATGAAAAGCAGAGACCGGAGAATCAAGAGTTCAAGGTCAGCCTTGACTGAACAGCAAGTATGAGGTCAGCCTGGACTTCATAAGAATATGACTCAAAAGCAAATAAAGAAGCAATAGCAATAAAGTAAATAAACCGAAACTTAAAAAATCAAGAAGAAGAAGACAATGAAAAAGAAGAAGGAATAGCAACAAATACTGAAATAGTGGTGGGTGTCCCGTGTCAACAAGAATCTATTCATGAGTTAAAGGGGCCTTGATGAGTCAGCGATCTGCAAAGGCCCATCAGTCCCTGGACCTGAGCAGAGTTACTAAGGAAGCAATCCTGCGTTGACCACAGTCATCTTCTATGCAGTTATACGTGGTCACAGTGAACTTTCTGACTCTGAACACCAGTTACCACAAATGATCGGTGGGCCCTGGAAGCAGTCTTGTGGCTCTAGATCGGGGTGAGGTAGGAGCACGCAGCCAACGGTCCTTGGGTTCCAAGACCTCGTCTCTGGTGAGGAGACACAGAGGCCGGGCTGCGCTGAGTCTAGAGTGTCAGTCAACCTCGGCACTCTGCAGGCCCTGCTAGTTCTGCCCACTCACGACTGAGCTCTTCCTCTTGTCACTAAGTTTCCTCTTGTGAAGTGAGTTTTGTTTCAATGTTGCTGCTTTTTTTTTTTTAAGTATGTCTCACCTACCCCCCTGGAAGAGATAAAGTTCTCTAGCTGATCAAAGAGCTTCTTGCAGTTAGCCCCATTTGCAGAGGACCTGATAAGAGGAGTGAAACTGAGGTGGATGCTTGCAAAAGGCCATTTCTTCCCCCAAAGTGAGTCTGGAGTTGGAGGGGAGCAGGGTGGGCCTGTGGGCTCTGCACCCTTCCTACGCATGACAAGGGGACCAGGTCCCTTCTTCCTAAACACTTCTTTCACTTTATTCCCCTGACTGACCTTGAGATCAAAGTGAGCAATTTTCTTTGTGTGAAGGTAGTTCACCCCGTCCAGGATCTGCTTAATGAAGCTGGTGGCTTCCTCCTCACTTAACGACTCCTTCTGGGCCAGGAAATCGAACAGCTCTCCTCCGGACACTCTGGAAGACACAGGTGGGAGGGCCAGGCCCAGTTAGGTTTGTATGTTGCGAGGCCTGGCTCAGATTGCCTAAAAGATAGACTCTCCCTAGCCCTACCTGTTGCTTGGTCTAACCAGTACCAAACACCGTCTTTGCTTCTGTATTCTTTCTATTGGGTATTCACAGGAAAGCTTCTTCTAGTACTCCAGGCCCGGGTCCCTTTTTACCCTGGAAATTACCCTTTCTCTGTAGAGAGCAAGCTGTGCCCATTGTGAATTACATGTCAGATAGAACAGCAGTTGGTCCATTTGGTATGAATGCTAAGGTAGGATGATCTGGTATCTAGCTAGTTAGTTAGCTGGTGCATACAGGCCACGGCACAGGCAGAAGTCAGAAGAAACCTTGCAGGAGTCAGTTCTCTCCTTCCAGTCATGGCTGGCAGCAAGCCAGCGCCCTTACCTGGAAAGCCACCTCCCCAGCCCCTGACTTGGTATCTCACTCAGACATATGAACAAGTACCATCTATCCTGCACACTCAGAAGGCGGAGAATATAAATGCATTATTAATAAAAAAAAAATTGTCTCCTGGGAATTCATTGCACCGACCAGCCCAACGAATGACACAATCCCCTCACCCAAGATTCATGAAAGGAGAAACCACAGGCTCCAGCACAGCACAGCAGCCCATCACTGTCATGGACCACTCCAATATGCCTTTGCCCTGTACATCACCAGACAACAAATTCCTAACTGTCCTAGACTCAAGATTTTTTTCCTCCTCATGGTACTGCCCACTTGGGAGCTCTCCAGACCCAGTGCCTGATCCCATGAAGTATTCTGCATTTCCACTGACACTTCATACCTTGAGCTGCATGTGTATACATTTGTGTACACAGGCAGCTAGAAGCAAGAGGTTAAGGACAAGTGTCTGTCTCAAGTGCTCTCTCTACCTTATATTTTAAGACAGGGTCTCTCGCTAAACCCAGAGCCCATGGATTCAGCTAGACTGGATGCCAGCAAGCTCTTCCTATCTCTTCTTCCTCAGTGCAGAGAGTACAGATGGGTAGCTTTAATGTGGGGGCTCTGGATTTGAACCTAGGTCTTCAAGCTTATGTAGCAAACACTTTACCAAACAAGCCATGCGCATAGTCCTGGCATCAATCTGCATTATCCTTTAAAATTCTACAGTTTAGCCAGGCTTGGTGGCACATGCTTTTAATCCCAGGATTTAGGAGATGGAGCCAGGTAGACCTCTGTGTTTTAGGACAGCCAGAACTATGTAGAAGGATCATATATGTATCATATCATATATCATCCATATATGGTTTCTTTAGTTTTGTTTAGCTCTTCTGTAACCTACAAATAATTCTGTGACGTCAGGAATGTGTAATAATTAAAATTACATACCCATAGTCTCAATCACTTGAGAAACAAAAGCCAGAGGACTGTCACAAACTTGAATAACCAATTCCAGGCCAGCCAGGGACACAGAGGAAGACCCTCCCTCAGAAAGGACAGACCAAGATGAAAGAAAAGGAAATTAAGAGGAAACAAAGAACTTGCAATTGCTGAGGTCATAACTGTAGGTTTGGGCTACCAGCCACTCAGTCCTCTTTCTGCCTCCACCTTCACAGCTGCCATTAAAAACAGAAAAGAAACACAAGCAAACAAACAACAAAACAGAACAGGTACCCTGCCATGGCTGTCTGTGAGCCTATAATCCTCATTTCCCCATCTGAAGTTTTATAAGCACCCTAAGCAGTAAGGGGCTTCAGGCAGCACACCCTGCATGACAGACACACATATTAATAAAGGACCAAATCTTTCCCCTTTTCCGACCACCAGGGAATCACACACAGCCTGATCACAAGCATGAGTTACTATACTTGTCAATCACACAGCATGGCATCACTCGGTCCCCTCTGAAAACTACGAAGTAGATCACTTAGCCCTCGTGGGCCTACACTCTCTTTAAGACCCTTGCCGTGTCTGCCTGTCAATTTATGGCACTAATAATTCTTCTAATAAGTCTCTTACCCCAAAAGACAATCTGCCTCCGTGTTTCCTGTGACCCTCCCCCAAACAGAAAGCTTTCAGTTACACAGGAAGACCACTATCTCTGAAGCAAGTTCCCCCAAGACAAGTCTCCCAGTACCTTAACCTTGAATTTCACAGCCTTAAGAAGCGTAAGAAATAAATACCAATTTGTGGTATGCTGTTGTATAGCTGCTTGAAGAACCTAACAGGATGTTTGTATTGAGTGGGGCGATACTGTGACTAAAAACCAAACAAATAAACACAAACTAAAACTATGGAAGTGGCTTCAGAAGTAAGTAAGTCAGTGAGGCCACATGAGTTGTGAGATGCATGCTGGGATAAGTCTTCAATGTCATAAGTAAACAGCAGAGCATGGTTCTGGGGAGGGGTGGGCTGAGAAAGAGAGGAGAGGAGTCTCAACACAGCCTGAAAGTAGCTGGGTGGTTCTGAAGAGAACATAGTTAGAAGTACAGATGGTGACCGCCATTCTGGGGAGGTTTGCAAATAGAACTGAGGAACCTGGCATCAGTCAATGGAAGTAATAAAAAAGCAGAGAAATGTCACCGAATTTTGTTCAGTGTCTTATGGAAGGTCAAACCTGTGAGTGATGAGACTGGATATCTGGGTGAGAAAATGTCTAAGCACAGTGCTGATGAAGCCGTCTGGTTCCTCTTGACACTTAGAGCACACAGTAGAAGGAGAGGAAAAAAATTGAAACGTACTGTATGTGTTTCTGTGTCTATCTGTCTCTCTGTGTCTCTTGGTGTGTGTGTGTTAGTGTATATGTGAACAACTTGAAGGTGATTCTCTCCTCCCAATGTATGTGTCCCAGAAATCAAACTCCTATTGTCAGGCTTGATGGCAGGTACCCTTACTTACTGAGCAGCTTACTACGAGATCTCACCGGCCCAAAGAGGAATATTTTTAAAATAGAATTATTAATTTAAAAAAAAAAAAAGGAAAATGTCAAAGTTTGGAGTGTTTTCAGCCTATCCCTACCTTAGGAACTCTGTGGCAGAGTGAACCCAGGTGGCTGAGGCTCGCTTGATAAGGAGAGTTCTGAGGAAGGCCAGGTGTTATTCATCAAGACAATGGAGGAGATTGATTAGTCAACGGTATAAAGGGCCCATTGTCCCAGACGGTGAGATAATGACTTCAAGTCATCTCAGACTGCATATAAGGAAAGAGCTCCACTCCCATCACAGGGCCACACTAGGGCCTGGGGGACAGAACCCTCTCAAAGGAAGAGCCCTGCCCCCATCTTCCCACACTGGTTCATGCTGAGGCCTTTGCTTCCTGAACTCTAAAACCACCTCATCAGTCACCCAGGTGTGGCTCCCACCGGTTCCTGAAGTGATTGCTCTGCGCCAAGCAAAACTCTGGGTATGTGACTACTTCCACCTGGATATCAAGGATGCCTCAGGGCTTGGTGGGCCCCGGAGAGGGAACTGTGTGGAGATGGAGGACAATGCAGAGATACCCAGCAGGCCATGGGATGGGGCTACCCAGAGACTCCAGACCAGTCGACCTACAGGTGCGTGTACTGCTCTGGAAGAGCCACAGCCAGGCAACTCCAACCTGAGGGCTGTGGTGTAGACTGCTCTAGGCAAGAGTTTTCTCACCTGAAAGAGCAGATTGGCCAAAAGCTTCCTTTCTTTGGTTTTTATGAAATCTGCTCTCTCACTGGACTCAGGATAATCTAGACATGGTCCCTAACTTCATAAAATAAATTCTAGAAAACTACGGAATTCAGGTTCCAGCCTTTTCCACGCCTCCATAATGGTGCACATGGACGTCCTGGCCTGCGAACAAGCACCTCCATCTGCTGAAGCCATCTCAGTAACCCTCTCCATCTAGTCGCTCAACAATATTCAGCCACTGAACATGCGTGGCTACTGAGCACTTGAAATACGACCAATGTGACTAAAAGACTGAATTTTCTTATTGAATTTAATTTTAATACAAAAACTGATACAGTATAAAATTTCTTCATTAAGCACAAGTTTACTGTTTAAACAGAACTATTTACTTTAACTAGCGTAATATGTGCTCCAAATGTCAAATCCACATCAGCTTATGCAGACTTAGAATACATACAGGAGGTTATAACAGGAGGTTATTATTAATAATAACAGGAGGTTATTATTGAATAATATATATATGTATGTATATACACACGTATGTGTACATGCCTACATTTATACATATATACATGTGTATACATGCATACGCACATGTGTACATATTACTCATTATGTATATATGTATATAATATGTATTTATATAATAATATGTATGTACATGTGTATTGTATGATATATATTACTTATTAATAATCTCATGCTGCCTACATATTAAAGTCAGTATGTGTTGGGGTCAATACAATTATTATTTTTTATTTAATTGTTTTTATTTTTATTAATTACAGTTTATTCACTTTGTATCCCCCTGTACCTTCCTCTGTCCTCCCCTTCCAATCCCACCCTTCCTCTTCCCCACCCGTGTCCCTCTCCCAGTCCACTGAAAAGGGAGGTCCTCTTCCCCTTCCCTCTGATCCTAGTCCATCAGGATTGGCTGCATTGTCTTCTTCTGTGGCCTGGTAAGGCTGCCCCCCCTCAGGGGGAGGTGATCAAAGAGCCAGCCACTGAGTTCATTATCCATTATCATTATCAGAGACAGTCCCTGTCCCCATTACCTTGGAGGCCACTTGGATAATGAATTGCCATAGGCTACTTCTGTTCAGGGGTGCCAGGCCATCTCCATGAGTGGTCCTTGGCTGGAGTATCAGTTTTAGAAAAGACCCCTGTGCCCAAACTTTTTGGATCTGTTGCTGTCCTTGTGGAGCTCCTGTCCTCTCCAGGTCTTACTATCTCCCACTTCTTTCATAAGATTCCCTGCACTCTGCCCAAAGTTTGGCTATGAGTCTCAGCATCTGCCTCAATACCCTGCAGAGTAGAGCCTTTCAGAGGCCTCTGTGGTAGGCT